CATATTACGCATTTTACCATGCCGATGATGATAAACTGAAATAAATGCTGTTACGATGACGAAGAAGATGATGATGATGATGAAGAAGATGATGATGATAAAGAAGATAAAGATGATGAAGAAGATGATGAAAATGAAGAAGATGATGAAGATGAAGAAGATGAGGAAGATGAGGACGACGACGACGCTCTCTTCACGATAATAATAAACAAATGAGTCACACTATGTCTTTACACCAGGTTAAATGCATTTGTATTGTATTTATTTATTTGTGGATCTTTGTGTGCGTGTGTGTACGTGCGTGTACACCAGTATGTACGTGTATGTATGTATGTATGTTCGTGTGTGCGTATGTTTGCATCTTGTATGCGTGTGATTGTGTTTTGTATATTGCACATTTATACTAATGCAGAATACATCCGGGAAATATATGAAAATATGTATTTAGTAATTATGCGCGGATTTATGTGTATTTGGGTGCGTGTGTGTGTGTACGTGCATGCACTCGGATGAACAGATGAATGTATGACTAAAAGTAAAAAAATTTTTGAGAGCATGAAGGAGAGAGAAAGAGAGAGAGAGAGAGAGAGAGAGAGAGAGAAAGAGAGACCAAAAATTCCCAGATAGCAATCAATTAACATTGGTTTTAGTTACTGGATCTCCTGTACGTATGCGTGCGTGTGCGTATGTGTGCGTGGTTATAAATAAGTAATTTATCATTTATTATTATTATTGTTATTTATTATCTTTATTATAACTATTATTGCAGTTGTTATTATTATTATTGTTGTTGTGTTTTTTTTCTAACCCAGCTATAATAATAATAATAATAATGATAATAAGAATAATAAAAATAATAATAATGACAATAATAATATAATAATAATAAGAAGGAAAAGAAGAATGATAATAATTGTCCCCAATTTGAGTCAGATATTTTTTAATAATCTATTTTGGTTGAGTCTTTAGTAAAATTGAAAAAAATAACAAAAATTCAGTGTTAATAGTAGTAGTAGTAGCAGTAGTAGTGGTAGTAGAAATAGTAGTAGTAGTAGAAATAGTAAAAGTTGTTGTTGTTATTGTAGTAATTGTAGTAGTAGAAGTTGTAGTAGTAGTAGTAGTAGTATTATTAGTAGTAGTAGTAATAGTAGCAATAGTAGTCACATATGGATGAATTGAGGAAAATGCAAATTTTGAATTAAACGGTTTCGTTTCGTTTCAAGAATCGGATTAGTCGAACCTAAGTCGGATATTCCGTTCGGTTTAGAAGTGTTTACGGAGTAAAAATATTTTCGGGATCTACCAACAGAATGAACTACTAAATAAACATAAATGAAAGTTTAAATTTAGATTCGAGATTCGTCGGTATAACAAAAATATAACTCTATTGATGAATTGTTATCTGACACATTTGCGATACAACAACTGCAAGGATGTATAATTGTAAAATGACCAGCTAACAATGAATCGTCTTATAGACTAATTGTCCAACAGATTAAACAATCAATCAATCAATCAATCAATCAATCAATCAATCAATCAATCAATCAATCAATCAATCAATCAATCAATCAATCAATCAATCAATCAATCAATCAATCAATCAATCAATCAATCAATCAATCAATCAATCAATCAATCGATCAATCAATCGATCAATCAATTAATCGATTAATCGATCAATCGATCGATCAGTCAATCAATCAATCAATCAACCAACCAATCAATTGAATGATCAACCAGCCAGATACACAATTCAATGCTATTAATTAGAGAATAATCGCTTTTTTCATTAGCAGAGTTTTAATGGGCCGCAAGTAAATGAATCGATCGATCAATCAAAAAACAAAACAAGCCAATCTGTCAACATAAGAAATTTATATAGTACAGAAAACATTTTGTTATGAATATACACAAACAAAAACACACAAAACCAGACAAACACACACAAACACACACACACAAACACACGCACATACATTTAAAAAAATAAGCAAACGTTATTAATAATAAACAGGAGATGAGATGAAAACTGAATAGCTAGTATAAATACTTAATGTTAATTTTAAATTAGTAACTCGGTAACTACTTTCAATGTAATCCAGCATCATTCGTAGTGTAATCATTTTAGGTCTAATGTAATCTAGAGTAAGAAATGTCAACATGATTAAACATCAATTAAATAATTGAGTGCGTACATTCATCCATTCGTTCGTTCATTCGTTTGCTCGTTCATTCATTCATTCTTTCATTCATTCATTCATTCATACATTCATACATTCATAGCATAACTGATGCATTAACAATGAAGCATAACTTGATAAAGCCTTTGTTATCTAATAGTAGTAAGTAGTAGTGGGAGTAGTAGCAGCAGCAGCAGCAGCAGCAGTAGTAGTAGTAGTAGTAGTAGTAGTAGTAGCAGCAGCAGTAGTAGTAGTAGCAGTAGTAGTAATAGTAGTAGTAGTAGTAGTAGTAGTAATAGTAGTAGTAGTAGTGGTGGTAGTAGTGGTAGAAGTGGTCTAAGTAGCGGTAGAAGTAATAAAATTAATAGTAATATTTCAAAATTATAAAGTATACAAATACTGATCATGGCCTATGAATGATATTTGCAACCAAATAGTCTCGTTAAAAGTTACGAATTCGTGCTGCTAACTGGTGATAACAGTAATTTCAAATCCGAGCAGTAGTAGTAGTAGTAGTTGTGGTGGTCGTGGTGGTAAAAGTGAGTGTGAACTAAAAACAGTTACGAAGAGAATGAAAAAATGGGTAAATAAAGAAAGAGAGAGAGAAAAAAAAGAGAAAGAGAGAGAGAGAGAGAGAGAGAGACATGAACATAAGAGAGCGTATGAGACAAACAGAAAAAAGACAGAGAGAAAAAGATAAAGATAGATAGATAAATAGATAGATAGATAAAATAAAGGAGAGAAAAAGAGACGAGGACATAAAATGAATGAGAGAGAAAGAGAGAGAGAGAGAGAGAGAGAAAAAGAGAGAAGAGAAATTGTATACGTAAATAGGTACCTAGCACTTCCCTATCTTACTCTAACGTATCGTATCATGTACACGTATGAAGATGATGTGATGATGGTGACGAAAGATGGATGGAGTCGATTCCAGTTGCTGATTGGAAAAAGAGAAAACTGATGATTATGATGATAACGATGATGATGATGATGACGATGATGATGACGATGATGATGATGATGATGATGATGATGATGACGATGATGATGATGATGATGATGACGACGATGATGACGATGATGATGATGATGATGATGACGACGATGATGATGACGATGATGATGATGACGATGATGATGACGATGATGATGATGATGATGATGATGACGACGATGATGGTAATGGTTCAAAAGAATTTTAAAATTAGATGAACAATGATGAAATAATAGCAATTAAGATTAAGAAAAATGATGATGATGATGAAGAAGAGGATGATGATGATTAAAAAAGGACGGAAGGAAGGAAGGAAATAACTAAGTAGAAGAAAGAATAACAAGAATATAATTATGGCGATCTGTAATATCCATTTTGTCATTTGTCATTCATTTCATTCACTCATTCATTCACTCATTCATTCACTCATTCATTCAATCGTTCATTCGTTTGTTTATTCGTTTGTTCTTCATTCATTCATTCGTTCGTATTTTTACTCGTTCGTTCGTTTGTTAACTCATTCATTCACTGTTACTTCATTCGAATATTATCATAAGTGGGAACGATAAGATCAAAATCTCTCATGTTAAGAACACGATGATTAAGAAAAAATTTTGTGTTGTCGGTTCTTCATCCATTCATTCATTTATTATTACCTTCCTTCCTTTCTTCATTCATTCATGCAATCAATCAATTTTTTTATTCAATCATTCATCTCTAATGGCATCATCATCATAAATGACGTCATCATCATCGTCATCGAAACAGACCTTCATAACGCTTTCATCCTCGACATCAGCTTGAGACCCCAAATACAAAAAGTTTAGAATCTTCGACGGGCCATCGTCCGCCGGCGAAGATAGAGACATGTACGTTGGTGGCTGTCGTAGCGAAAGCTGCCGCATGTACTGCCGTCGGTGATGTTGTGGCTGCTGTGGCTGATGATTTTGTTGATGTTGTTTGTCTGCGACGAGATTGAGATTAGCAGGCAAGTGGGATGATAATAACGGAAGGAGGGTTGGCTTTTTGGGGATTTGTTGGCGAGGCTGGTTTGGAAGTTTGTGCTTCATCGATGTTGCAGCTGTTGTGCTTGAAGTAGGCGAAGAAACTGAGGCCGCTGCCGATACCGCTGATGAAGAAAGTTCTGTAGGAAAGATTGAGGCAGGTTTCGAAGGCGACTTAGTTAGGTTGGTGTTTTCATTTTTGTTGCTGCTGCTGCTGTTGTTGACGCAATCTAGATAGAAGTTGTAGTTGCTGTTGTAGTTTGTTGACAGATTCAAACTGTTGGGCTTTTTAATTTTGCTGCTTGTTTTGTTGTTGCTGCTGCTAATGCAATTGATGTTGTTGCTGTTGTTGTTGCTGCAATTGATGCTGTTGTTGGTGTTGCTGTTGTTGGGAGGAGCAAAATAAAACTGAAAATCGTTAGAATTCTCGTCGTTGTGGTCGTTATAGCGGCCACTCAGTTTGCCAAACTTGTTCATTTGTTTGTTGCAGTCATGCGATCCCACCAGATGACGGTGCGAACGTTTTCTGGGACTTGGGCAGTTACTATAATTATAACTATTACTACTAATACCGTTGTTGGCGTTGTTGTTGGCGTTGTTGTTGGCGTTGTTGTTGGCGTTGTTGTTGGCGTTGTTGGAGTCAACGAGAAAATTTAGAGAACTACTGAAATTGCTATCAATAAAATCTTCTGAACATTCAGCTGGACATGGCCTCTTAGACATGATATTGATTTTATCGCATAAGAAGAAATTTTATTATTATTAAACTTAAAATTACTTTATTATTATTATTACAATTATCATTATTATTATTAAGTATTCGATTTGCAGCCCTTGTTGTAAAAACAATATGCATAGATCGATTTGAATAACGAAAATGATAATTACTTTACGTCATTTTGAATAATTTTGGTTAAGTTAGCGGGTTAGTCACCGAATAAATTAGTAATTTTATTAAAATCACTAAAGTGGTTTTTATTATCTAATTTTAATTTTAATTTAATTTTAAATTCATTAAATAAAATTCAATTATTTTCGAGAAATAACCAATGAATATTATCTCCAGTCTGAATATACTTGAAATTTTTAAATTGAATAAATAAAATCACTATTGTTTAGATTGAAACAATTAAACACCAGATCAAAACAAGAAGCCGTGTAAACAAAATAATAAAACAGTCAGAACAGAAACTTCGTCACTACAAAATTAGTCAGCGTCATACAAGTAACGCACTTTTATATAGCGCCTAACATTATTCATAGGCTTGCATAAATCTATATACATTGTATGAATAATTGCATATATATATATATATATATATATTTACATTATATTCAAATGTTGTATATACACATATATGTAAATCTATTATATATATATATACATTATATAATTTTATTTACACTAGTCTATCGCATAGAAAAGCCATATAGCACTCACCCTTATATATACATATATATATATGTATATATATATAAGTATATATATATATATATATATATATATATATATAATATATATATATTATATATATATGTATATGTATATATTTATATATATACATATATATATATGTATATATATAAAAGTATATATATATATATATATATATATATATATATATATATATATATATATATATATATATATATATACGTATTCTAGTAAAATGTAGAAGATTCCCATCAATAATAATAAAGTGAACAAATGAATGAGTGACAGAATGAATGAATGAATGAAATGTATGAATGAGCGAATGAAGGTATGTGTTTTCTTGCTACGATAAATAAGTCACTTATAACTTATATGTTATATTTCATATGTGTGTGTGTGTGTGCGTGTGCGCGCGCGCGTGTGTGTATTAATTTTATTCATAGTCTCATGAATATACATGTCTGGTTGTGAGTCTGTTGCTAGATGAGTCACTACATTACGAAGAGACAAATGAATCATGGAGGTCGGTTGTACACTTGTATGTATGTGTGTACGCTTTTTGATTTTTGCGTATGTATATGTGTATGTATGTGTGTGTGTGTGTGTGTGTGTGTGTGTGTGTGTGGTTGTGTGTGTGTGTGTGTGTGTGGTTGTGTGGTGTGTGTGGTTGTGTGGTGTGTGTGTGTGTGGTTGTGTGGTGTGTGTGTGTCTCGGTATGCATATTTGTATTCAAAGGTGTGTTTGTTTGTGCGTGTGTGATTGTATTCAAGAGTGTATACGTTGTGTGTATTGTGTGTGTGTGTGTGTGTGATTTAGTTTGTATATTTTGTATGAATGTACAAAACCTATATCGCATACATACGTACGTACGTACATTGCTTATGTGATCAAATGCTGCTTATTGCTTCAGGCAGTGCACAAGTTTTTCCGTATAGGCCGCATACACTTAACTTATCCACATGTGTGTGTGTAAGTATGTGTGAGTATATGTGTGAATATTTGTGTGTATATGTGTGTGCGTGTGTGAATATTTGTGTGTGTATATGTATGTTTGTGTGCGTGTGTTTTTGAGTGTGTGCGCGCGTGTGTTGTTGTGTGTGTGTGTGTTTACGAAAACAGCGATGGTGATGATGACATTATCGTGACTAACTAATTGAAGACGTTATAATTAATTGACCCTGAATCTTCTTTTTGTATGATTAATTTTGAAGTAGTTTGAAGTAATTTAGAGGACAACAGCCATAATTTATATAATTTAATTATGACGATTAATTATATCAAGACTGATGCTGATGACGATGATGATGACGATGATAATGACGATGATAATGACGATGATGATACTGATGAATAATTATTAGTAACATCATTAATATTGACGTAATAAATGAGTGCTGCAAATGGTATAATTCTGATTAATAAATATTAATGAGATGATGATGATGATGAAAATGATGATGATGATGATGATAATGACGGTGATGATGGTAATGAGTGTCAACATTTTTTGTTCACATTTCGTGGTGTTGTCATTCAGAGTATTATTAACTGATGACAAAGAATCGTGACAGTAGGGCGTGAACGAACGAACGAATGAACAAACGAACGAACGAACAAAGGAACAAAATAACAAACAAACAAACGAACGAACAAATAGACGAACGAAGGAATATATGAATAAAAATACTAACCAACAGACAAATAAATAAATTGAAGAACACGAATTCATCCATTTTAACTTTCCGCACTTGAATGATTGGGCACTTGGTTTGACGTACTAATAAGGGTTTACTATTTTCATGTATTCATATTTTATACAATTTTGAAACTGAACGAATGAATGAATGAGCGAGCGAGCGAGTGAGTGAGTGAGTGAGTGAGTGAGCGAGTGAGTGAGTGAGTGAGTGAGTGAGTGAGTGAGTGAGTGAGTGAGTGAGTGAGTGAGTGAGTGAGTGAAAAATCAAAAATCCACATTAAGGAACAACAGGAGCTAATAAACGGTTGATGTGATAAATTGCAGAAATGAACGAATGAATGAATATTTGAATGAATGAATAAATAAATGAATAAAAGAATGAACGATCGATCGATCGATCGAACGGACGAACGAAAAAATTAATGAACGAACGAACTTATAAGCTAGAATACAGGAATGAATTAGTAAATTAATGATTGTATGAATAAATGAATGAATGAGTGAACAAATGAATGAACGAACGAACAAACAAACGAACGAACAAACAAAAAAATGAATGAATGAACTTACAAGTTTTATTTGATGTTGGATGAGAGATTACAGAAGAAAAATAAGTGATTCAGCAGCTGAAACTTTGTGAATCAGACGATCAAAATCCTCATTACTCTGTCTTCCATCCATATATTCATCTCATTCTCTTGTATCTTGCATCATCCATTCATCTCACTCTGTTGTATCTTGTATCATGTACCACTCTCTCTATTTCTGCATCTCATTTTGCTGTCTTTTATATCATGTTTCTCTCTCTCTCTCTCTACTCCTTTCTCTCTCTTTACTCTCTTTATTTTTTAATTCATCTGTGTTTATTGTTGTTTCTCTCTCTCTCTCTCCTCTCTCTCTCTCTCTCTCTCTCTCTCTCTCTCTCTCTCTCTATCTACTTTTTAATTCATCTGTGTCTATTGTTGTTAATATATCGTTTGTGGAGGTTTTGAAGTTCAAATTCCCGAGTATTCTTTGAACGGTTTCATTTCTAGAAACGAAAGAACAAATAGAAAAAAAGAAATACTCTTGAAAAAATAAAATTGAGCGTGGCGGTTGTGGGTGTATGTTTCAAATATGTGTGTGTGTGTGTGTGTGTGTGTGTGTGTGCGGGTGAGTATGTGTGTGTGTGTGTGTGTGAGTATGTGTGTGTGTGTGTGTGTGTGTGTTTGTGTGGTGTGTGTGTGTTTGTTATAATGTTTGAAATCTTTCGAAACTTTTTTTGGAATGATGAAGGCAGATAGAAAGAAGAATGAATTTTAAAACTGAATAAACACACGCGCACGCACACACGCACACACACACACGTGCGCGAACACACACACACAACCACGAACTGAAACTGAAACTGAAAATGAATTCTTAATGACGTATTGTGGTACATTTCATTTTTACCAGTTATTTTCATTCGTTCTATTTATTTTTATTTGTTTAATTAATCATTTATTCGTTTATTCAATCGTTCGTTTTCACAAATGTCATATCATGTCTTAACATCTCAACTGTCTCTTAATTAATTCTCAATGGCGTCAACACACGTACGCACGCACACGCAAACACGCCAACACAAGTCCACACACACACTCTGCACGTGATAGGCAGGAATTTCTCTGCAATTGAATTCGGCATAGCAGAAGCAGGACCTGGCACCTTATCCATTACACCATCCTGCAGCCAACGTTCTCAAACAAGGCGAGGTTTTTATAAAAACTTTTCAAACTAGCAAAGATTATTCACATTCTTTGGACGAATTTCTAAAATATTTCAAATGTTAAATGGGAAATTAAAATCTTTCTTTCTTAAGATGGAAACGTAAAATTTTTTACCACATTCCACGCGTGTATATTTATTATACTTATTCTTTTTTCTTCAAAAACACATTAAACCTTTAAAAATCAGTCTAATGCGGAAAATAACTTGATGAAGTTGCTTATGTTGTTTGCATTACAATAGATATGTGTGTGTTTTGTGTGTGTTTTGTGTGTGTTTTGTGTTTGTTCGTATGTGTGTGTGTGTGTGTGTTCGTGTGTGTGTGTGCGTGTGTGTGTGTGTGATTTTGTTATCACTACCTGCAACAAGTTCATCGCCCTTGATTTGAATTGATTGATTGATTGATAGCAGAAGTATTATGGCAATGAGATTGTAAAAGGCATTCAAAACTTTGAAAAAACTTCAAGTGTGCCCATATGATAAACAATAAGCCAATGTTTCATTTTGCAATGTTCTCTCTCTCTCTCTCCCTCTCTCTCTTTCTCTCTCTCTTTCTCTCTCTCTCTCTCTATATATATATATATATATTTATAAAAATGTTTGTGTTTATATAAATCATCGTTATCATCATCACACCTGACGACAATCTCAAACACGTTGATTGCGTCAGGTGACTAATTAAACATGATGAATGATGATGGGGGTGGTAACGATGATGATGATAAAAATGATGATGATGATGACGATGATGATGATGATAAAAATGGTGATGATGGTTGTCATGATGATGATGGGGGTCGTGATGATGACGTGCTAATGATTAAGTTAAAACAAATGTAATTA